ACCCCGTCCGAAAGGCGTATGATCCGATGAACTGGACACCTGCCCCCTATGGAGTGCGGTTTTCAGACACCGCTCCGCCGCCTTGCAGGTCAGGCTTTGGCTAGCCAAAGGCTCCGGTTGTGGATTCTTTAAGAAAATTCATCTGCCTTGACCTGTGCAACCTGATAGTATTCATCCCACAAGTCAATCGTGGGACGTTTGTCTTTTTTATAAAGATTATTGTACCATGATTTGTTTGGCACACAGTTTGTCCTCAGACAAGTGTGAAATATATATATATATATATATTATTGCTTTACTCTCATTACTACATGGCAAGTCGCACTTACTCCATGCCACTATCGAGAATGAGCGATGGATTTCTATTGGGTGTTCTGCTCCATTGAAGATTCCACCTATATGGTCACAAATGTAGTAACTGAATGAGCCGCTGGGGAAGCCATGGCATCCAGAGTACGCTGATAACTTTATCCGTCTACTCGAATGCATTGAAAGATACGCAGACTAACAGATTCTGATCTTTCTTTCGGCTTGCGTTTTGAAATTTAACAGTACGAAATAACGCCACAAAACCGGGAGCTAATTAAGCCTACTTTGAAGTTCTACAGTCAGGAATTTCCAATCTTACTCAGGAGGTTGTGTGACATTTGCAGTATGTGAAGGCGACGGAATGCGTATCCAGTTCACCATCGGTGTATACAAGAATGAAACACCTGGTGCTGACGTGAGGTTTCGTCCAGATTGAAATGTCAAATATACTTTATCACCTTACGACTAATGAGTCCTTGATGTGAAAGACCCATCCAGGCTAGGGTCCAAAAGACCGTGTAGATTGTCTCGAGTATTGTGGTTCACTTTCTGTTCTGTTGCCTCAAATAAATCTCAATCACATAACTAAATCCTACTTGCTCAGTACAAGTCGTGCACCTGGCCGCAATCACAGAAGTTCGATTCATAGTGTTTTCCCGTACAATCATCTGGATGACGATGAAATTGTGCGAGTATTGAAAAATGCATAGCACACAAATATTTTGGGGTAGTTCGGTGGTTGACACCCATAGCTTCATATTTAGATGGAGGAGAGAAGGAGTAGATCGGAACGTTCAAATCAGTGTCAGAAAGAAAGTCTGGCAAGAGTTGTACACAAATGAAATGTCTTGGGATCCAAGGAAAGATGATTACACTGCGAGAGGGAGAGAGCAACTGTCCGTTGAAATGAGGTGTTACACTGATGATATGCATGCCACAGTTTTGTACACTAGTCTGTACAGTGGCATCAAGTGAACTACCAGTATCATCGATGCCCGAAGAGAACTAGACAACCGGGTTATCACGCTTGATTGAAATTGTGCAATAACATTTTCGGGAATATAAAATGCACGCTAAAAGGAACCTAGGTAACCGTTTTGGGTTTACCGGTTGCGTTGTGTGCACATTCTTCTTAGTGAAAACTTCACCATAGATTGAGCAAAATTGCAGTTCTCAAACATGCGAAACTCTCAGCGGTATTAGACGTCAATCTACCTCCCCCCGGCCCAATCAGAACCGCGCTTTTCAATCGGTCAGTCGGGTTCAAACCAATCCAATGGCGCATATATGTAGAGCACCACAGAACTGTTCTTGACCACATTGGTGAGATTTACTAGCCTTAGTTTATCCATGTTTTCGCCTCCATATTTGTTACGCAATGGCTTATCCAAAAGAGATTGCATTTTTTCACCAGGCATGATTGTGACCGTTGACCCGAGGAACTGACGATGCTTAGTTGATGATTCAGTTGAAACCGATGAGACCTAGCTGAAATTTAGTCTGTTAGTGTCGCACAATATCACTGATTTTCTGAACGACAGAGCGAAACAGACAGACGGGAGAAACAGACAACGACAAGCGAACTGACAGAACAGAAGTGCGGATAGAAAACCAAATCCAAAAAAACAGGTCTCCGGGGCTATTTATTCATTGGCACAAGTAGAACTTTGAAAAAATGTCGTCCGAGCAGGTGTGGACACAATGCTCACGGGCATTGGACACCGGGATTCTGTCCTTCAACCGGTGCTCACGGCGGAACGGTGAGCGATCATCAACAAGCAACGAGAACGCAGAGTGAACAGAGCGAGGCGGGGGGGGGGTGGGGGGGGGGGTGTAAACGCGATTGTTCAACCACAGTAGAAGAGAACAAATACAGGGTATCACTTTGTCCAGTCCATTATGTCGGCGCGGAAAAGGCTTCGAGGTAGATTCGGTTCAACCTTTGATGACACCGATCGGTCGCAATTTTAGGACTTTATTACTGATGCCCGCAGCTTGACCTGAATAGTTTTTATCCACGGAAGATGAATGCGGGAAAAGGACAGTGGGAATGGAGGATACGAAGATAAAGTAAAGTTAAAAACGTAGTGCTCAAATAGTGATGAACAAAATCATCGAAATTTATCGTATACAGAATAGGCCAGAGTGCAGTTTACAAGACAGAAAACCCTTAGCACAACCA